CGCCAGAGAGACATTAGAGAGACATTAGAGACATTAGAGAGACATTAGAGACACCAGAGAGACATTAGAGAGACATTAGAGAGACATTAGAGAGACATTAGAGACATCACAGCTCGTTCAGTTTACTGTTTCGTGTCGCTGCCTCGAGCTAACGTCGGAGCTTGGAGCTGCTCACTGTCGGGACTGAAAGGTGGATCGGAGTCTTTACCTTCTCTGGCGGCGGCGATCAGCGGGTACGCCAGCTGATCTTTGAAGATTCGGGACAGTTTGCTGAGATCTTTAAAAGCTGCCGCTGCACTTTCTCCTGAACAACGACAGAGACATTTTATTTTAGAGTCGTTCACAGGAGCTGCCGGCGTCACGTCGAGCGATCGGAGCTCTACCTGGCCACTCGTCCGTCACGTAGCTGGAAGGGTTCAGACACAGTTTGCGGACGGCGTCGACGGTCTGGTTCACCTTCAGAGTGGCTGCAGATCCAACAGAGAGCACGAGGCTCAATGTGAGCCGTTTAAACTTGTTTTTAATGCTTTAAGAAATGAAACTGATCCTATAAGAGCTAAAATAAAAGTGATGTGATGTAAACGGACCGTTGATGACGAGCACCGGGCCCATACACACCGCCACCACCATGGCCAGGCTGTTGTCACACAGAGGATGAGTGTACTGCAGCTTGTAGACGCCAGCGGCCGACCGCCACCCTGCAGGCATCTCTCCGGCCTTCATCTCGCAGCCCTGAACACACACACACACACACACACACACACACACACACGCTGACATCATCCCGTACCTGCGTGATGTCACTTCACACACCTGTCCGAACCTCACCTGAGGAACGAAGCCGGTTTCCAGCATCAGCAGGTTTCCGGCCACCATGACGGCGTCGCTGGGGCTCGCGGTTTGTGCCGAGTGGTAGAGGAGCTCCAGGGAGAGCGGAGCCTGACCCTCCTCCGCCTCGCTGCACAGCATCGGCTCCCAGCTGGAGGCCGAAGGCTCCGAGTCCGACGCCTCAGCCGCCTCCTCGAGCTCCGCCGCCGTCACCGCCGCTGGGTCGCTGGGCTGTTTGTCACAGAGACGTTCAAATACAACAAAAGTGTTCGCCTGGACTTTAAGAAACATTTGAGTTAAATGATCTTCTTCCACCTGGTTGGACGTCCCGGCTGCATCCTGCGGGTTCTGCTCTGTCCTCTGGGCCTCGGCGGCGGCAGAGGCGGCGGCTGTGGCGGCGGCAGATTCTGGCAGGATGACGCAGATGAGATCTCCGGAGACGATGCCGCAGGACGACAGAGTCTGACCGGAGTCTGCCAGAAGCTCGGAGCCGTTCAGAGACAAACTGAACTCTGTTTCTGCACTGAGAGAGAAACAGGAAGCAGTTTCACCTCAGAGGAATCAAATAATCTGTTTCTTCTGGTTCCTACAACCGATGTTTGTTTACTGTGAGTTTCACCAAACTCTACAGAAAGAAATGCAGTTTTTACTTTCTCCTGCAGAAAGAGAGGTAATAAGTCTCCACACCAGCAGGTGGCGACAGTTCAATGTAGGTTTGCTCGCTCTAAATCAATAATCATTAACATGGTCCCATCCTCAGTGTGTTTTATAAGCTGCTGTATAAATAAAGCTCAACTTACTTACTGCAATAAAACTCTGAATTCATCCATGACTGAGAGAAACAATCCCAACAACAATAAACATACAGTTTGTTCTTCTGCCTTTTAATAATAATATTGATTATTAAGTCCAGAACTGTCTCTGAGTCCCGTCTGACCTGAGTCCGTGAGAAGACAGAACCGTGTCCTTGATGTGATCTATGAGCTCCTTTAAACTGGGTTCTCCTCCCGGTAACTCCACCCTGATGGTCCGCCTGCCGATCCGAACCCGCAGCTTCATCCTGAAGACGAGAACATCAACCAGATCGACACGTTACACACAGATATCATCTTATTCGTGGTTGTCGGAGGATGGAAGTTGCTCTAAGAGGTGATAATATTATGTAGAGTTATTATAGTAGACATGTTTTTGAGCTTCTGTGTTGTTTTATCAAGTGTTTTTATATATATGAATATTTTTCCCCCTAAACTTTAGTTAAAAGTAAATATAGTTTGGTGGAAAGATTCCTGTTTCTACATCAATTATATTTCTTGTCAGCAGTGTCCACATACTTTTGTCCACATAGTATACCTGATATTTTACTTTCTTCTATTATTACAAACATTATGTTTTTTTAGCACCATAGCTCAAAAACAGTTACAACACTTAAAATGAGCTGAAAAATGAATGAAGTTTGGTGCAGAGATTTAACTGAATCATGTTTATATTTCCTAACTTTAAAATGGTTTAAGTTTGGTGGAAAGAACATATTTGAACCTTTTATTATCTAATACTGCTCTCATTAGTGTCCACATACTTTTGGCCGTGAAGAATATCTGATCTGTTGTTTTTACACAGAAACAGAAGTGAAACCAGTTTCTCTCTCTAACACAAACAGAATGACATGTTTCACTAAAATGGTCAGAAATATGAATGGAGTCTGGTGGAGAGATTCAGATATTTATATTTACTATAATTGTTCATTATTGTGTATAAAGTTATCCTGTTGTTTCTGGGTGAAAGTTAAAATAATACAAATATAAAAATCCATCATGAATCAGCGTTTTAATTTTCTGCTGCGTCATTAACGTTGCTGGTTGTTTTAGTTTTTATTTTCCGTTAAATAACGTTAAAATTTAAAGTTTAAACATTTACACAAAATAAAAACAAATACATTCACTAAATATTATGAAATAAATAAAATAAAACAGTTAATCAAGAAATCAGACACAACTTAATATAAAGTTTTGTTATTTGAGATTAAAAATTTAAAATGTTTCGTTTTCGTTTCTGAGCGTTAGCTGTTAGCATTAGCTGCTAGCTCACCGCAGCGTTAAACAACCGTTAATTTAACCGACAGCGGTCCGTAGCTGCACAGACAAACTGAGGAACACTTACATGAGTAAATACTGAGTTTATATCCACCGGTTTTATTCGGTTTCTCTGTTAAATCGCACTCATTTCGCTGTAAACACGAACCGGGAGCGACACACCGACACACACACGGTACTTCCGGTGCTCAAAATCTATATTTTCACAATAAAGCTGTGTTAGCTTGTTTCAAAGGGCTTTTTAAAAAAATATTATTATTTCTTTAAATCTTATATTTTATATTTTATATTTTATATCTTATATTTTATATTTTATATCTTATTATTGAGCCTGAGGGGAACAGTAGCCCCAAAAAAACTCAGTTGTCATGAGATGGTTTTGTTGTTATTTATTTAACTTTATTCACAAACATGTAAACAGACAGAAATCATTAAACGAGATAAATAAATGTGAAGAATTGTTTTCTTTTTATTACAGTAAGGGAGTAATTTAATCTAATATATATATATATATGCAAGCAGAAGGATCAAACTGTTGATATAATACTGATTTGTTTTAGTAAACAAACCAAACAATATATTTTCATGTAAAAGGTTCAATATAAACAATATAATATACTGGGAAATAAAATATATAATCAGTTGTTTTCATTATTATTATTTTTCTTTTCTTTAATTGATCAAGTACAATGAACAAATATACATAATAAAAGAAAGGGAATATAAAAAAGAACAATACATTTAAAATAAAAAACAAGGTAAAGAAACAGATATTTAAATATAAACACATTTTTTATGAGAGAAAACTATATGTTTTATTTTGAAGGCCACTCGTAGGACTTCCGGAGTGTTTCCTCTAAACGTGACTACATTTATTTGACTACAACTACGGTAAGCGCGAAGTGCAGCCTGTAACTACCCCTGTGAGTTAATACAGACACCGAGTGAACACTTTAAGACTTTATCGATCCGCAGCTGTAAATAAAAACTAACACCGTCGCCATTTTGTTTCCTTCCTTTAGGAGTTTAAAAACCTCCTGCGTCATCGCGCCCTAAAAACCGCGTTTCGCCGTCAGGCTTCCGTAGCGCAGTGACTGCTGGCACTTGGCATCGGACAGCCGGTGAAACCCGCCCGGAACAATGAGCCGCAGTTACAACGATGAGCTGCAGTTTCTGGATAAAATCAGCAGCAACTGCTGGAGGATTAAAAAGGGATTCGTTCCCAACATGCAGGTGAGGATTCGTTCCCGACATGCAGGTGAGGATTCGTTCCCGACATGCAGCAGGGAACCGGACACACTGTCAGCTGCTAACGGGGCTAGCTGGTTAGCTCCGGGAGCCGCAGTGTGACACACGTTGGTCGGTTCTGTGGACTTTAACCAGACTCCGTAAGGAAAACCGACAATTATAAAGTTCATGTAGTCACAGGAATCAGTGACTTTAACGCAGAAATCCGCCTCAAAGCCAAAGTTAAAACCTGCTGATGAAACTCTGATGCAACTACTGGCTGTGAAACTCGAGCCGAATGAAAGGGTGGATCATACTGATAACAGACAATTAAAAATATATTTAATTATATTCCACATTATGGCTAAATAGGCATTTAAAATTAAAATTAAAAAATGTCTCAAATCAGCATACAGATAACTGACTGCCGACACTTTTTACAAGGAACATAAATAAAGTTAATAAAATTTGTGACCATGTTTTAACTAATTTAATGGGATTATTATAATTTATTATATTAAATGTTAAATATATATATTAATATCTGCCTTAAAAAGCACCCAGTCAGTAATCTGTGTGCTGATTCCAATTAGAAAAATAGTCATTTTAATTTTGAATGCCTGTTTAGCCACACTGCAGACTATAATTTCATGTATTTTTAATTTTTTCATATCAGTAGGAGCCACCCTTTAATTCTGCTCATCTTTTATAGCTAATAGTTTTTTGTTTCAGATTTAAAATAATAATAAAAAAGTTACAGTGTACAGAATCTTTGAGGAAATATTGATTTGCAGTAGTTTTTGATGGAATACCTTCAACCATAAAATTAACTTACTCAAACACATCTGTAATAATGTTAATTCAAATTATCACTATTGTTTGAATTTAGTGAAAGAAAATGTTACGTTACTCCAGATATGAGAATATTAAATGGAAGTCAGTTTTAATAAGAAATACTTTGATTTAAAGTTATGATTTATCCTAAATAAATCTTCTGTGAGTTTTTTTATTGTATTGATGGATTGATGGATTGAAAACGTTTTCTTTGTCTTCCAGGTTGAAGGAAACTTCTACGTGAACGACTCCCTGGAGAAACTGATGTTTGAGGAGCTTCGTAACGCCTGTCGGGGGGGAGGTCGGCTGCAGCTCTTTAAACCGTTGTATTCAGACAGGAAGTAGTAAAGGCAGCAGAGCGATGTACGGCTGTAACGTCATGTATTTCAGACAACCAGACTCCATTGACAAAAACAGTAATTTTACCTCTGAGCACACAGGAGCTGCTGGGCGACGTCGACAGTGACACATCACAATGAGCGATGATGTTTTTAGACCCCGGGACGATAAAGACCAACAACGTCACACAATAACACAAACTAATGACAGAAGGAGGCAGCGGTGGAGCAGCAGCTCCTCTCTTCTGTGAGGTAAAATCACTGTTTTTATCAATGGAGTCTGGTGGCTTTGAAGAGAGAGCGATATATAAACGCCTCAGCTTCTCGTCATCTGACGGCAACGTAAAGCGGTGAACATCCCAACGGGTAAAACTTAATGGATGAAATAAAGGACATGAGAATACAGTCTGCTTCTCAAACCTGATACAACCCCAAAACCTATAACGATCCCTCTAAAGATATGTATCATGTTTCTGTGTGAGCAGAGAGTGATCGGGTTGTAGTGGAGCTTTGTTCCTCTGCTGCCTGTGGACTGATCTCTATGTAGGATGAGGGTCAAAGGTTGTGACCTTTATGCTCCCGTGCCTTCTCTCTCCGCTTCCCTACAGTGCCAACAGTGGGCAACAGTTAACAGTTGAACGTTACATAAAGAAGCTTTAAGCTGCTGAAACTCTCCACGTTTATTTTATTTCAGGTTTCGGTGGATTCCTTCCTGCCATGAAACAAATCGGGAACGTGGCGGCGCTGCCGGGAATCGTCCACGTGAGTAACAGGATCACGTTTTCATTCAGATTAAACAGTAAAAATATGCTGAAAGCTTAAAGTCGTATGTGACCTCCGCAGAGATCCATCGGTCTCCCAGACGTCCACTCTGGATACGGATTTGCGATCGGAAACATGGCGGCCTTCGACATGAACAACCCCGACGCCGTGGTGTCTCCAGGTACGTCGCGCGCTGATCGTCTCACAGGTGAGATCTCGTTGTTCTTTCTCCCACCTGAGGAATCCCGTCTCGTTTCAGGTGGCGTCGGTTTCGACATAAACTGCGGCGTCCGTCTGCTGAGGACGAACCTGGACGAGGGAGACGTGCAGCCGGTGAAGGAGCAGCTGGCTCAGTCGCTGTTCGACCACATCCCGGTGGGGGTCGGGTCCAAGGGAGTCATCCCCATGGGAGCCAAGTAAGGAGGTCTAAGAGTCTGTAGATCACAGCAGGAACCTCCTCCTGTTTACCTGTGTGTTGTGTGTGTGTGTGTGTGTGTGTGTGTGTGTGTGTGTGTGTGTGTGCTGGTGCGTTCAGGGACCTGGAGGAGGCTCTGGAGATGGGAGTGGACTGGTCTCTGAGGGAGGGTTACGCCTGGGCCGAGGACAAGGAGCACTGCGAGGAGTACGGCAGGATGCTGCAGGCCGACCCCAACAAAGTCTCCTCCAAGGCCAAGAAGAGAGGCCTGCCGCAGGTATCCCAGCAGCCCGGCGCTCGGCGGTCACAGCACGGTTAATTAGGGAAGTAGTTTAAAGGGTATAACATTAGCTCTGTGTGTGTGTGTGTGTGTGTGTGTGTGTGTGTGTGTGTGTGTGTGTGTGTGTTGAAGCTCGGCACTCTGGGAGCAGGTAACCACTACGCAGAGATCCAGGTGGTGGACGAGATCTACGACGACTACGCCGCCAAGAAGATGGGCATCGACCACAAAGGTCAGGTGTGTGTGATGATCCACAGCGGCAGCAGAGGGCTCGGACACCAGGTGGCCACAGGTAGGAAGTGCACCTGAACGCACCTGAATTTAAAGTGATTTTATATTTTTTCATTAAAAGTCTGTAAATGTTTGTAAAACACAGAAAAACAAATAATAACAACTTTAAAATGTTTAATATTTATCTCAGCTTGTCTCGACATCGTGTGTTCATAAAGTTATGTTACTGTAAATAAAACTGAGGCCTTTAAATGTAACTTTATTAACACATTATTTCTATACGTCTTTACTGTTTACTTCCTGTTTTAAATAAAGGAATAAATACAAAATAAAAGCACAGATCACATTTATTCCAGAATAAATTACGACATTAAAAATCGTCTCCACGTTGTTGTCGACAGACGCTCTGGTCGCCATGGAGAAGGCGATGAAGAGGGACAATATCATCGTGAACGACCGTCAGCTGGCGTGCGCTCGCATCATGTCGCAGGAGGGACAGGACTACCTGAAGGGGATGGCGGCCGCGGGAAACTACGCCTGGGTCAACCGCTCGTCCATGACCTTCCTCACCAGACAGGTAGACTCACCTGCAGGGGGCCTTTATTACAGACCGGGCTTTTATTTGAGGAAATCCCGTCTTTATTCACAAAAATCTTCACACGTACATTATTTATATTTATTATTATTTATCTGCCTGAACACGTGAGAAGCTGACGACCTTCCCGCTGTAGACGGTTTGAAACTCTTTTGTTTTTCAGGCCTTTTCTAAAGTGTTCAGCACGACGCCGGACGACCTGGACATGCACGTCATCTACGACGTTTCCCACAACATCGCCAAAGTGGAGGAGCACATCGTGGACGGGAAGCAGATGACTCTGCTGGTCCACCGCAAAGGATCCACGCGAGCGTTCCCGCCGCACCACCCCCTGATCCCCGTAGACTACCAGGTACGGGACCTCGGACCGGAGGATTTAATGAAAGTGCCGCTGGAGCTTTAATCGATCTTATTATTCTTGTTTTCAGCTCACAGGTCAGCCGGTGTTGATCGGAGGGACGATGGGAACCTGCAGCTACGTCCTCACAGGAACCGAAAAAGGGATGACGGAGACGTTCGGCACCACCTGTCACGGAGCGGTACGAGTCCTCATCAGACCTCATCAGACCGCAGGTTTTATCCCTAAAGAGAATAAACCTCTTTGATGTTTCTCCGCTGTTTCAGGGTCGCGCTTTGTCTCGAGCGAAGTCCCGCAGGAACCTGGACTTCCAGGACGTTCTGGACAAACTGGCCGACAAGGGCATCGCCATCCGCGTGGCTTCACCTAAACTGGTCATGGAGGAGGTGAATATGTTTGTTCCGGCATGAAATGTGGCAACAATGCTAAAAGTGTCATTAAACTGTAGCTAACAGCGCCACCAGTGGTCGTTCAGTGAACTGCATCCTGGGTGTCGGCCAACAGTGACAAACACTGAAGGTTGTAAAATAACTGACGATCATATTTAGAATAACGTTACTATCTGCACTGTTAAAGAAAGCTCACATTATCCAGCTAAAAGCACAATCCATCTTCTGTATGTAAAAGATCAAGAATTGTTGTTTTTGGTTTATTTCTAAACTCTTTCTTTACTTTCAGGCTCCTGAATCGTACAAGAACGTGACGGACGTCGTCAACACGTGTCACGACGCTGGAATCAGTAAGAAGGCGATTAAACTTCGACCGATCGCTGTGATTAAAGGATGAAGCTGCACGACTCGATGTTTAAAGACAATTTGCACCAAACGAAGGTCGTCGTGATGAAAGAGAGACTTCAGAAGCAGAAGATATTCGCTTTTTGTTTTGTTTTGGTGTGGAATTAATTTTTGTTTAAGAAATTGAGCAGCGGGAAAAAATAAGTTTGAAATTTTTTTTTTGTTTCATGCCAAATCTGTGATCTAAATAAAGGAGATCACTTAAAACTGAATCATATACTCCATTAATAAGCTTTGAGGCAGCAACCAATCAGAGTCCTTGATTGCTGGAAAACAACAGTGGCAGCTGCTGACGAGGTTAGCGTGTTAGCTGCTATATCAGAACTGTGCTGTACGATTTTATTTACCTTTATTTTTGCAATTATTTCTTTCTAACGTAAAAAAAAAAATTGTAGCAAACATCACAATTGTTTAGAAAAGCTGCCATGAAATCGAACTTTTTTTGGTACTAAAAATCTTCCTTATAGAAGATCAAGATTTGTTGTTTTGGTTTGTTTCTAAAGTTTTTTTTGTTTTCAGGCTCCTGAATCGGACAAAAACAAAATCTGCTGTGAAATCAGGAATTTTAAGGCTCAACAATCTAAAAACCCCTGGAAGGACTGATCAAGGGACTTTTTGATTTATGGACTTATTGATTAATGGAGTAATGGTATAAGGGGTAATGCCTTTTCAGGTGTCCATTATCAGGAATTAATGGACGGTCCTTTACATAATTACCTCTTCTCTTATAGCAACATGTGCTTCTCTTGCAGTAGATCTAATGCGCTGATAGTGGATCTAAAATGATTAAAACATCAAATGAAAAAGGTTTGAAAGTGTGAAACATCTTTAATTTTAAATGAATCAACATTTTAGGAATGTATTAGGTAATCTTAGAGTTTTAAATAACATTATTTATCTCATATAGCGACACTGCGGCTGATGTTTACAACTCATTTCAGATGAATCCGGCTTCTGCTCGGGGACGTTTGTTTTGTTGCTTTACAAGTTCATACATTTTAAATAAAATAACATTTCCCTACTTTTACATTGGTTGGTTTAGAAAACATACCGACCAACCTACGAACCTTCTCACTCGACCATAAAGGTCCCTGCGGGTCCTCGGGTTGATCCAATATCCTGTTCACTTCAAAATAAAAGTCCTCTGGTACAATTTAATACTTTTCTTAGTTCATTATTTATGTCTAAGTAGGTTTTATATAATAAACAAAACAATAAACAGTCAAGAACATTTATTAAATTATTCACATCATGTTATTGTGTAAAAATCTTTATTTGTGGAGTCAGTCCTGATCTACTGACGCTTCCCTTCCCCCAGTAATCAATAAATCAATGAGGCAGATTCCTTTATGATTAGTAAACACTTTATTGGTTCTAACAGAAGATTTATCACCATATCAAAACAAAATCAACACATTTCACCATCAATGAACAAATGAATTCATTTGGCAAGTTTCTCTTCGATATGAGCAAAACTGAGTTCTCCGTCAATAATATTCATCAATAATTCATCAATAATTCATCAATAACCGCCTAATGAGGCTGATTTAAGTGGCGTTTGAATACTACGACGGTACAATGTGTTGTGTGTTATTGTGATGAGACGTTAATAACTGGAGAATCAGTTTGTTGTGAAACGTTCAGGCGACAACAAGGACGTGGTTAGCCTAGCTTAGCCTAGCCTAGCTTAGCCAGAAATAGTTGCAGCAGTCCGAGCAGAAGCTAAGCTAACGTTACAGTTTGTGTTCAAATTAAACCGAGATATAACTCAACAGAGCATAGTTAGCTTAGCACAAAGCCAGTAATGCTACAAAGACACTAACATAATGTTACATTGGTGTTTATTAGCTAAATTATGTTAATTTTCTGTAACCGTTGAACGATTCCTTTAAAGGAACAAACAACAACAACAACAACAACAACTCTAAACCGGTTAGCATCAGAGCCAAGCTAGCTGTTTCCCCCCTGTTTCTGGTCTTGGTGCTAAGCTAGGCTAAAGACAGCTAAAAGTCCCTTTATTAGCTTTTGTTAGCGAGTAAGTCGACTTCCAGATCGTTTCCAAGATTAAAGTTTAACTCAAACATCAAGTTTACGTCAGATTTTTGGTTTTGTTAGAATAAATTTTTACTGTTTTCTTCCCGACTGGTTGCACGTTGAGAAATTACTGAATTAATTTAAGGAGAACTTTTGGTGCAGATATCTCGTACAGAGCCGAACCAACAACGAACTGATCCCACTAATAATGTAATAATGTTTATTAATAACCTAAAATAATCCGATTTATTGATACTTTTTGTTTTCACCTTTTTTCGTGGGATTTGTTGACATTCAGAAGCCACGCCCCCTTTTTGTTTTTGTTTTACTTCTTGCTTTCCTGTACTTAGATATGCTACGTGCTAGGCTAAGATGTATGCGTTTGTATGCCGACGATGTGACTGTATATCTTTTCAACGGTGATTAGCCTAGCATGTAGCATAGCTCAGTACAGGAAAGGAGGACGCTGACAGGTGTGCTCAACTGTGATTGGAGCACAGAGCAAAAAGGGGGCGTGGCTTATGAATAATCAGAAACATGTAGACTTTACCTTTACCTGGCTTTATTTATTTGCCTGTACGCCCACATTTAATCGAACACTTGCAGGCACTTTCTCTGGAGGGTTTCCAAAGGCAAAGTTTCTGGGAAAAATAACTTTAAAGCTGAAATCAGATCAAACCAAATTACAAGGAATGCACTGAACATCACAAACAGTGGAAACGGTACACTGAGGGTTGGGGGGGGCAGAACAAAGAGAGGCGTCACAACAGCCAAAGTTTAAAGAACTGAAGAATCTGCAGAGTCGAGGGTTAGAAAGTGGATTTGCATTTTTTTTTCACATCAGCGAAAAATGATCAGACACAGTTTGTACAGTTCGATCTCATCGTCTCGCACTGATTGGTTTCGTTACTGTTTGACAGCTCCTTCACAGTATCGCTCGCGGTAAAGCGTTGCATAATCAACGTGTCGATCATCCTGAATTGTCACAAAAAGCTTGAATAGAAAAAAATGTCATCGAGCCGCTTCTGTACACGAGCAAATTCATGTTTTTACAGTGCGCGAGTGATTCCTATCGATGAGTTCATGCGTTCATATGGAAGCTCATCAACGCCAAGCAAAGCAAAAGATAAGGTGGATGACAAAAATAAAAATACTCATAATAAGTCAAATTTATAATCTAAGAAATTGTTTTTGTCAGAATTGTGAGATTTATCACGACATAATTATCTGTGAAAAATGGACCCAAAAAAAGTCAAACCTTTAACTACTAACCAAATTATAAAAGATTTTAAATTCTACTCAGTGAATAATTTGAGATACTAAATCAAAATTCTCACATTTGCAACAAATTATGAATAAAGTAAAAATAAAAAAATTATGATTTAAAAATAATTTAGTCAAAAATAGTAAATGTGTCACAATTATGAGGAAAAATGTGAGAAATAAAAATACTAGCAGAAAATTCAGAGTATTTTTATTTTTTCCAACTCTTAATCCTTTTTTGGCACAAATGAGCTTCCATATTTAGTTTCAAGACGGGAATGATTTTAAAAAAAGAAGAAAAACTAAACCTAGGAACTTTATTTACATTTTTTAGCATCGTATTCTCTTATTTACACTTTGTTCCTCCATTTTATGTTCATTTCCATCTGAAATTATAAACAAATATTACTCATATTTCCAGGAAAACAAAAAATATTCTGGATCATGTCTTCAATTTTTTATTATCAACACACCATACGGGTGCTGAATGAACTGAACCTGGATTATCTACATCCCATCGGGTAACAAATATAAAGAGATAATACCGACAGTATTTGCTTTTAAATGGAGAATTCAGGAAAATAAAGTCGAGCCGGGCTATAAGAAAGTTTCACTTCAAACTTAAAACCAACCGTCCATCCAATAAAAATAAATCAACGCCACATTTTGAATAAAAATAATACAATTCAGCCCTTATCTTTTTGTCCATTCTGTGGCGACAACATCCAAACAAACTCAAATCTAGCAGGTTGAGAGATGTGGGTGTCTAATGTGAGCTAAAGCTATCGTGGAAGGATAATTACCGAATGTTTCTCCCACAGATCTGTTTACTCCTAAAAACCCGACTTTCCACAGAGTTCCCCACATCGGTCGAGGTCCTTTACGTCTCGAGTCCATGTGGACAGCTCGTCTCGGCGGTGGCTGGAGGGGTCGTCCGTCCGCCGACCTTCTGTCCACGTCCCGACTCAGACGGACCGGGGCTTCGTTACGCGTTCACTTTAAGTGCAAAAGCGGCTCCTATGCTAAGTTCCATTGTTTTTGTTGTGAGTGGCGTCGTACGACCACTTCCTGTGAAAGTGTCCTCTTGGTTCCCAGTGAACTTCCAGTTTTATTTCCTACAGCTTGGCTCGCTGGAAGAACGCCTGCACAGACAGACAGACAGACAGGCAGACAGGCAGACAGGAGGATTATCAGGTGATCAATGGATCCAATAAACAGGAAACAGTCACTCACTGATTTTCGTACCTTAATGTAGTTTTTCAGGACTTTGATGTCTGGCTGCTGAATCACTTGACAAAGCTCCTGAAACATAAACGAAAAAACAGGAATTAAAGTCTTCAAAATGAGCAGTTCAACATCTTTCAGACCAACAACAGGACGCCCGGCTGCCCCCCAGTTCTTTAAGCAAGCTAAGTTATCCAGTCTGAAGCCACATTGTTACCATCCACTGAACACTGAAGGAATCCTAACCGGGAGAAGCTGACTGCAATGACGCCAATGGTGGTGAAGACTACAACTCCCATGATCCCACGCTGCTTCACCACCTCCTCACACTGTGGCAGAAATTACATATTGTACATTTAAAGGAAACATCGTACCTGTGAGATTTCTGGGGACACCTGCAGGGAGGGTAAATACTCCTGCTGCAAGAACTGGATGAACTCCGGTCCCTGAAAGAGAAGATTAAAGATTTACTAACAGGTGGGAAGAAATTCCTCCGTGAATCGAATATGAGGAATATTTAAGATTATTTTCAGATCAGATAAAAACTGTTTTTACCCTTTTGAGATGAATCATTTTCAGCGTGAGCGAACACTCCGACAGCGTCTGGAAAACAAAGAGGAGCTGATATTGAATCCTGTAAATAAACGTCTGTCAGCTGGACTCTGGTACAGAAACTCACCAGCACTGTCTGAGCATCCGAGAGGTCAAAGGTCGGTTTGAGAGGAGCCAGGAAGCACGCGGGGACGATGTGTTTGTAGATGAAGTCGGGGAAACCCACCATGCCGTCTTTGCCTCCTGCGGGTTTGATCAGAGGAACGTAAATAACAGAGAAACACTCAAACAGTCTGATGTTGCTTCCCGACGGCTCTCACCCCACAGCTCCACCAGCTTGGAGAGGATGATGAAGCAGGTCTTCTGAGCGATGGGGTCGGGGAAGTCCACGGCTCCCTGGATGATGGTGAACACAACGCGCTCGATGTTTTCTGCTCCTGAAAACAAGAACGTCAAATAAACTTCACGGCAGCTCTCGAACAGACCGACGATCAATACTCAGGCGATCGTTTTCTGACTCACCCTGATTGGCCATCACCTCGTTCATCCCGCTTCCCGTGACGGTCTGGATGAAGGTGAAGTAGCTCCTCCTCAGCATCTGTTTCTCCAGAGCCGCCGCCTGGTCGTTGTCCTCTGCCGGCCGCGCCAACACCTCGAAGATGGCGAGCACCAGCGGCATGAAGACCTGCTGCAGGAAGGGAGACACCTGCCGCTGCCGTGGCAACGGGAGAAAGAGCTCGTCAGTCACCGCTGGTCCATCAGCTCGTTATACTTTAAATGTCTAATGTGAGTCCTACATCCCTGTCCTGAGTCAGTCCCGAGTCCCTGTCCTGAGTCAGTCCTGAGTCCCTGTCCTGAGTCAGTCCTGAGTCCCTGTCCTGAGTCAGTCCTGAGTCCCTGTCCTGAGTCAGTCCTGAGTCCCTGTCCTGAGTCAGTCCTAAGTCCCTGTCCTGAGTCAGTCCTGCGTACCTTGAACTTGGCGGTGATCTGGCTAATGAGCGGGATGAACTCCTGCAGGTCTTTGGCCTCGCAGTCCTTCAGCATGTGCTCGGAGGCGGCGGGGACGAAGGGCAGCACCTCCTCCTCCAGGCAGATGATCATCCGGTGCAGGAAGGAGCGCACCGAGCTGCGCAGCACCCCCCTCTGGACGGGGCAGCTCAGTGCGGGCAGGAAGGTCTGCATGCAGTCTCTGTAGACCTCCGTGCAGCCGCACTGCTTCACCGTCTGCTTGTTGCTGAACGCCTTGCTGGTGCGACTGCGGACGGAGAGGACGAGAGACGGTTCAGACTCTGGTTGTCAGCGGATTCACTGAGAGTCCGGATCAGAGAGCTCACCTGGCGAACCCGACGGCGTGGCTCAGACAGTCGGCGAGGGAGGCTTGTCTCTCCTCCTCCGTCTCCTGCAGCAGTTTGGCGAGCAGCAGGCGGAAGACGTCCATCAGCGGCAGCAGCAGGCTCCTCATCAGCGCCTGCTTCCTCTCCGCCGGACACTCGCTGTTCACGATCAGGACGCCCGCCGTCTCAAACATAAACAGCTGGTCGTCGCTGGTCAGCATTGCCAGGAAGCCGTTCTCCTGGAGAGAGGACGCAGAGTGGTTACAGGACAGACAGGCAGTGGAGGACAGACAGGACGATCACAGGCAGTGGAGGGAGGACAGACAGGCACTGGAGGTCAGACAGGCAGGCTCAGACTTACAGGAGGAGCGAGTTCGAGCAGGTCCTGGATCCGGGTCAGGATGTCCTCAATGAAGGCGTTCATGTGTTTACTGTCAACAGAACTAAAGTTATTATCTGATTATTAATCTGTAAATGTAAATAACAAAATTACTGCTTATTGAAATTATTTAATTATTATTTAAATAGATTAAACTGTTGAATTAGGTTTAATACTGTTAATTCATTTCTAAAATTATATAAAATTTGTGACATTAACAGTAAAAAAGTATTTATTGTGTAATTTTACATGGATTTGTTTGTTTATTGACTGATATCTTGTATAACAGAAACGTTGAATAAATGTTGTTTATCAGTGTATAAACATTGGTAAACTGTCCAAATACAGTTTTTATCAGTGTAAACAGCAAAAATTAATTAATTTCACAGATAATGACTTTTATTACAGTTCTATAAATTTTAACATAACATTAAATATACATTTAATAAACATTAAAATAAGAAAAATCAAATAATAACAGCACTCTGCTGTAAATGTAAGCCTGATTATTTGTATTATAGCTCATTTTATTGGATTTACAGTGTAAATATCTTTAATTAAACATTAATATTGCAGACAAACATGAAGGCGGACTCACTGCAGTGTTTTGACGAATCTGGAGAAAAGGTAGGCGACTCTGCTGCGGACCTTCGGGCTGTTGTGTCTCAGTCCTCTTTGGTCCAGAAACGCCATCTGACAGTGAACACAACACGGTTCAGTCGCTCAGAGGTCATACGTAAAGAAAGGTGTGTAGATTAAATAAAGTAAAATAAAATAACCCACCAGAACATTTGGGATGTGCTGAGGCTCCACGATGAAGAATTTATCGTATCGGACGACAGTTTCGAAGAACTCCAGAGACACCGAGCTGTGCTGGTAGCTGCTCACGCCGCAGGACACCAGCTGAGGGGGAAACATCGATCCGTGTTACAGTTATACTGCGGTCAAAGCCGCCAAGCTCCGCCCCCTTCTGGGTGAAAGCAGTTCCTTTATGTTCATTAATCAACCTTTTACTACGAGACCACAGAAGATTTTAACAGGAGGGTTTTATCTCCACTTCCTGTTACTTTCTGCTGTTTCCAAGGTTCATTATTGGAAGGTAGGTCAGCTCAGTTTATGGGAATTATTAAGGTTAAACTACCCTCAGCTCCACAATGTCACACCAAACTCCATTCAAAAAATGTCTGTTTTAAGGAAGTATTAATTTCCACCATCAGCAGGGCTCCAGACTAACTCTTTGCATTGGTTGCACTGGTGCACCTAACTTTTTTTTTTTTTTTTGGGTGCACCAGCATAAAATGTAGGTGCACCCAAAGTTTTCATTGCGCCGCCTTTATCGCCATAAGGTCACCTTTTTATCGCTCTCCATAACTTTCATTTAATGTGAATGATTTTTAAACAATAATAAGGTGTAGAGAAATGCTTGTCTTTATTTGAAGCACAATTATATATAAAAAGAAAAATAAAGTGTTTAAAGTGTTTCACTGAGCTGAAATTGAAACTAGATTTCAAACTAAAACACTAAGCAAAATAAAACATTTCCAAATAAAAGTTTCGATACGAAACGTTGACCCGCTCACGAATGCTCTATTTCCATATTCTGACCGCACTCCTGACAGTACACGCAGTGCATTGCGTTACGTCCTTTGTTGAACCTCAGCCAGGGAACTTGTTTCAGCCAGTCCTGTCTGAAGGAATATATGTTGACCTTTTTAATTTGGGTCTCGGAGCCGGGCTCTATCCCAGACTCGGTTGTCTCCTCCACTGGTTCTGAGTCTGATTCTGTCGCCGAAGGACCGGGGCTCGGCAATTTTTAAACACACACAATTGAGCGCGGTGAACAGGACCACAGCCAATCAGAGGCAAAGACCCCCGAGCTCTGTCTCTTATTGGTTTAGAACCCGATATGATCCTACCATGAGTGAGAGAGTTCGGTCTCAGGAGAACACAGAGAGATGATGCTCTTGCGAAATAAATGTATGTTTTCACCCGGGCAGCGTCAGGTGCACCAGTGTGACCTAGAAAAATTATTAGTCACACTCTTAACAATTTTGGTCGCACTCTGGAGCCCTTATCAGTGAGACTCTGGTTTTCTTCAGTCTACAGACACAATCTGCTCACATTGACTCAGTTACATCATTAACTAACCACAGACGGACACACTAACTGTCCGGGTCCTTCACTTTAACATTTGTATCCTTATTTTTAGTTTTTTTATTGTTTTTATTACGACTCAGCAGCTTTTAGGAACTTTTACAGCTGGTTTCACCCTAAAGGGGGCGCTGTCCTTCTACAGCGGATACTGAACCAAGTCATGTGACTGACCGTCCTCATCATGTCCTGCAGGGCGCTCGTCTTCGCCGTGTCTCCGGAGAAATGAGCGCCGTGGGACGCCGGCAGCGCCTCGCCCAGCATGTAGAGCAGCCGGATGGCCACCTCCACCTCCATGAACGGAGCCGTCTGCCAATTCCTGAAAGACAAACAACAAACATTATACAACAACACGTTTTAAGGGAAGAACAAACAACATTTTACATTAGTAGTTAGCTTTTATAAGTTCAGTGCTCGTTCATACAGCTCAGTGGTTGTAGCAGTGAGACATTTAAAGGTCTAAAAAGTGAAGGAGAAGATCAAACTATTTATTTATTTACAAGCTTTAAAAACATCTTAATCCAACCGGCGGTAAACCCCGAGCTGTACGGATACCGCCACCGCTCAGAGACGCTCTTACTGCATGGTGTTGGTGAAGACTCGTCGTACGGCCTCCAGCAGCAGCTCCGGAGAAACCTGAGCCAGACGGTCCAACAGCATCTTCAGCTGCTTCCTGTACTCCACAAACATGGCCTCGTCCTCGCCCTGAGCAACAGAACCACAGCGTCAGATCCAAACTGCTGCAGTAATACTTTCACTGTTATTCAACCTTACTATTTCTTTAGTGTCGCACAACAAAACATCTTTCATTCTTTATCAGATTCAGTTTCAGGATTCATTAAATATAATGAAATAAATCTTCCTCAGCAGCCTTTAGTTATTTATTGTTTCCTATATGTTTGTATTAAAATGTAGATAAACTGAACCGATCCGAGGACGGTCAGCAGTGAACGCAGAAACTCACCTCGTTCTCAAAGTTGTACTCGTCGTCATAAGTCAGCTTCTTCATGACGGCGAGCATGACGGCCTGTGGCGAGAAAGCGGACGTTTCACTCAGACGTCACACAGATGATCAATAATTCAGCAGCACTGATTACGACCGAAGACTCACCTCTATGTTGGTTTTCTGCTGGTCCGTCAGTTGGGGAAGCTGCAGAAACAAAAGAGATGTTTAGGTTTTATCACAGAGGAAGAAATAACACACAGGGTTCCCGCTCTTTATGAGAAATCTGTTTCCAGAAGAGTTTTTTCCCGCTCTTGCTCACAACCGGCACTATCGGACGTTCAGCTGCTCTCACCACAGCCGACAGTTTTCCTCTAACTAACATCAGCCTGTAAATAACAGCTCAAATAAAAGGAGAACATTCAGATCAACAAACGTACAGACGGTGCGTCACTATCTGAAGCTGCGCTCTGATTGGCCCTCACCTGTTTGAGGACGTGCAGGTATTCGTAGCAGAAGCCGACGATGTTGGCCGAGATGTCGTCGTCCTCGTGCACCAGCAGCTGCAGCAGCAGCGGCACTTTGGCCTCCACGGCCTGCAGCGTCTCGGCCGCGTCCTTCACGTTGCCGGCCTTGGCCAGTTTGGTCCAGCTCAGCACCAGACTCTGACCCATCCCGTTCACCAGCCGGGAGAACTTGGCCAGGAAGTCCACGTCCTCCTCCTGGCGGGGACAGGAAGAGGGAAATAAAACATTCTGCCAGCCAGGAAGCGAGGAGACGCAGGAAAAGCGTGTGACCTCCTGACCTCAGGGTGGGAATATAAACCTAAACCTCCGGTCTGCACCGCTACAATGCTAACGTTAGCAAAACAAGACGCAGGGTTCCCGCTCTCTTACAATTAATTCTCCAGGACTTTAAAATACAGCTGCTGCTCAAAATGGTGCTCAGACCTTAAGAGACGCTCACTGACCAACTGACCTGCTAAAACAGATCAGATTAAACTGTTTTATTTTACAGAAAATGTAAGAAATATAAATGTGATCATCAACTAAATGAACTGCTTTCAGACTGATAATAGTCTCTGAAGCAGTTGTGATGGTACACACAGGTTATGTTTATTATTTTCTCATCCTGTACATGAGGATTATTACCACTGACCTGTTATGTAAACACAGGCTGTAATATGAATTCATTATTTGTCTTCGAACCTGCTCCACGTTGAAGAATCCAGCAGACTGCAGGACTTGGCACAGAGACTCCACCAGCTTGGTTTTATCCACGGGGTCCATTCCTTTGTTGATGATTTCAAACAGGCAGTCGCAGGCCTCCTCTCTGAGCTCCTCCACAGACATCTGACTGAGCAGCAGG